ATGAACCTCAAAAACATGCTAAATGAGAGAAGCCAGACTCAAAAGAGTGTATGCTTCCATTTATATGAAACTCTAGCATAGGCAAAAATGATCTACGGGATAAGAAATAAGAATAATAGTTGTCTGGGGGTGTGGCGGCAGGGAGGAGGGTATTTGCCAGGAAGGGGCACGAGGGATCTTTCTGGGGTGATGGAAATGTTCTGTGTGTGTTGATATGAGTGTGGGTTACATGGATGTATCAAGACTCACCAAATAGTACACTTAAGGTCTGTCCATTTCATTAAATATATAAATTTTACCTCAAAAGGGAATATAGAAGAAAGTCTGGATTAAAGAGAAAAAAAGAGAGAAAGAGATCTGGTAACGTGATGGATTGGGGAGGTGGTAAAGAGAGTGTTTCTAGCTTTGGAGACGAGCGCTTGGGGTTTTCGAAGATGAAGAATAATGGGAAGCCAGACAGGTTTTGGGAGAAGATAACGAGCTGTGTTTTGTTGAGTGTTAAGTACCTGTGGGATATCCTAGTGAAGATGTCTGCAAGGCATTTGGAATTATGGATTTGGTGTCCAGGAGACACTTGACTAAAGATACAGATTTGAATGTCATCCTCATAATGTTAATTGCAGCCATGAGAATACACGAGATCACCCGAGAAGAGAAGTAGAACTGAGAAGGAAAGAGACCCGAGGATGCTACCCTGAGCAAGCCTACCAGTGACTAGCTGGGCAGAAGAGAAGGAATGAAAGAAGGAGAGAAAGGAGGAGGACAGTCAGAAGAGAGCAGTGTCCTGGAACCAAGGGAGAGGGAAGTTCCAATAAGTAAGGATTGTCAACAGTTTCAGATACTTGGACTTAAAGCAGCAAGGTGGTCTTTGGGGATCACAGTGAGAATAGTCAATTATTAAAGAGTGGCAGCAGAAGCAAATTGTTATGGGCCAGGGAGTCAGTAGGCGTTAAGAAAGTTAGATTGCTTTTTCAAGAGGCTGCTTGAGGGCTTCCCTGGTGGCGCAGTGGTTAAGAATCCGCCTACCAGTGCAGGGGACATAGGTTCGAGCCCTGGTCCGGGAGGATCCCACGTGCCGCGGAGCAACTAAGTCTGTGCGCCACAGCAACTGAGCCTGTGCTCTAGAGCCCGCGAGCCACAACTACTGAAGTCTGTGCACCTAGAGCCCATGCTCCACAACGGGAGAGGCCACCACAATGAGAAGCCCGCACACCACAGCGAAGAGTAGCCCCTGCTCAACGCAACTAGAGAAAGCTCGTGCGCAGCAACGAAGACCCAACGCAGCCAAAAATAAAATAAATTAAAAAAAAAAAACCAAAACGCTGCTTGAAAGAAATAGGGGGGTAAGGGCGCTAATGTAAAATATGAGGTGGAGTCAGGCTTCTTAACCATTCACTAGTCACATTTTCAAGTTTGTTTTGATTTGGCTGGGGGCTGAAGGAAATATATCTCACCAAGGAAAATTTTCTTGAGGAAACATTGTTGAATAAGGTGGTAGCAACAGTCCTTTAAAAACACTTGCTTTTCTGTCACGATGAAGACAATGCAGAGGAACAAAGAAAGTAGCTCTCAGAACTGGAAAAGCCTAGCTTGCCTACACCTTTTAACAACAGGAACACTGGTGTATCTCATCCTGGATACTGAATTTTTGAAATTGTAGACGCTGCTGCTAAAACACACAACATTAAAAGGTGAGGAAATTTAATATTCTCAGTACAACCTATTGATACTTTTTACCGTTTAAAATCTTTAATGTCCTCAGAAAAGACCAATCGTAAGTTAAAAGGGTCATTGTAAGGACTCTAGTAGCCTGCCAAGGACCCAAATGCTTTTGATTAAGCTGAGTTGATTGTTGTAAGAGATAAACCTGATACAAATGCTCTCTTTTTCACCCCAGTCCTCTCCCCCAGTTCCCGCCTCTCAGGTGAGCTGGGCTTTGCGCTGTGTTGCAGTGCCATCACATATCCCACCCTCAAGTGATGGTAGATCCAAGCCTGGCACATGTACAGATGTTAGTTAGATTCAAAGCTGATTTTGAGATCGTTTAGCCCTGGTGGGATTTATTCACCTGAGTGAAGATTAAGTTGCACTGTAAAGGGTGTTTTCTCTCTTTGGGTTGTTTTTTTGTTTTTGTGTTTTCCTTTCCCCTTACTTGCCACATTATTGGTTCTCAGCCTTTCAGCTTAGATTCTTGGAATCTGCCTCTTAACTGGGGAGACAGTAAAGTAAATGTGTTGGTTGCTTATTGTGAGGTGCTTAAATAATGGGTCTTATTGATCGTTTTTCTGATTTCAATTTGTGTTCATTTGTGGCTGATTCTGCAAATCTGATCAATATGTGCACCAGTCATTATTCTCACCCCATTCCTTACGCTATTATTATTATTATTAATATTACCACTTTATGAAATAATTGAATCCTGTGCTTTAGCTTTTAAAAACTGAAGAGAATGTTATTTTTCTTGAATCAGACTCATTATACTTTCTCTGCTTGTGTAATTCTAACATGGATTTGTAGTTTTTGTAATTAGGTTTTTCCTTTTAAATGCCTTTACTGGTGCTGTATCATAGAAAGGGGGGAATATACCATGGGATGACTGAAGATCAGGTTACGAGAATGTACCAGCTATAAAAGCCATGAATGTGCTACCAAAAATAAGATAGGTAAAGGAGCTTTCTTTTCTTTACACCTTTAAAGTATAGATAGTATATGATTTTTGTGTGGTTACATGAAGGTGAATCCTATCTCAGACTCTCATAGTTTGTGATTATTTTTGCAAATTAAATGGAATCCTAAATAAGTACTATGGAAACCGACTCCTTCATGCAAACTTTACCTGAGAGAGAATTTGAATATGAATGTCTACCTGAATCTATATTGCCTAAATAGGAATTCTGGATATAAGTTAGCTGAGCATATGGAGATTGACAAATGGTGATTAATAAAGAGAATAGGGGAAGCCAGAGGGAGCTAATAAAGTATCAGAGAGAGAGATGATTCCCCCACGCTCCACAGTGAATAAAAGTTGGTGCGGTAAGGAGGATCCAGGTCTCTAGATTCCCATTACACCAGACTTCATGTTCTAGAAGAGAATCTTTGGCACCAGCTTTTTAGAAGCCTACATTTGTTCTATGTTTTTGAGAGGATTGAGAAATGGGAAAATCCTTCTTGAAGTAAAGAAATGTGTTTCAAAGTGCATTTCTGGAAAATACCTGGTTGTGTTCCATGGCTGTGAGCTGTGTGGCTTATGACGTCTGGTCGAACTGTAAGGAAGCTAGTCTTTTCTCTTGGGAAGAAGGTGTGTGTAAACAGTTTATCTGAGGGACACAGAGTGGGATGTTTGGGAATGAGTGGGGCTTCTGAAAGTCTGATGTATTTGATGTACGTATACTAAGGAGGGCTGTGGAGAGGGCCTCATTTTTTTTTTTCTTCTTTAATATTTATTTATTTGGCTGTTGTGGGATCTTTATTGCGGCCTGCAGGATCTTTCGTTGCGGTACGCGGGCTTCTCTCTAGTTGTGGCACGTGGGCTCCAGAGCATGCAGGCTCAGCAGTTGCAGCACGCGGGCTTAGTTGCCCTGCAGCATGTGGGATCTTAGTTCCCCAACCAGGGATTGACCCTGTGTCCTCTGCTTTGGAAGGCGGATTCCTAACCACTGGACCGTCAGGGAAGTCCCCAAGAGGGCCTCATTAATAATAACAATGAGGGACTTCACTGGTGGCTCAGTGGTTAAGAATCCACCTGCCAATGCAGGGGACATGGGTTTGATCCCTGGTCCGGGAAGATCCCACATGCCATGGAGCAACTAAGCCCGTGCGCCACAACTACCGAGCCTGCGCTTTAGAGCCTGCTAGCTACAACTACTGAGCCCGCGCTCCACAACTACTGAAGCCCACACTCTCTAGAGCCCGCACGCTGCAGCTAATGAGCCCATGCGCTGCACCTACTGAAGCCCACGTGCTCTAGGACCCGCGTGCTGCAACTACAGAGCCCACCTACTGCAATTACTGAAACCCGCGTGCCTAGAGCCCGTGCTGCGCAGCAAGAGAAGCCACTGCAGTGAGAAGCCCATGCACCGCAAGGAAGAGTAGACCCTGCTCACTGCAACTAGAGAAAGCCCGCGCACAGCAACAAAGACCCAATGCAGCCAAAAAATATATAATAATAATAATAATGAGAGTAAAGTTTGCCAGCTGAGGTTCCAAAGTTAGCCTCTCATCCCTGCATTCTGGGAGAAGAGCCTGCTAATGGTTCTGGCTTTGGTCTTTGTAACAGTTGGGGACTTAGGGGACAAGAACCAGTAAAGAATCCAGAAGCCATGGAAATTTGATCTCTGGCTCCCTCCTTTATGGCTTGTCACAGTCTTGCTTGGCTGCCACTGGCCCTCTCCTTTCTCTTCTGTCTTTCTGTGTTGGGCCAGTGTATTTTATTTTCTATCTTCAAAGAGGAATTGAAAGCATAGAGGGGAAAGAATAAATATGTTTTATGCTTGGATGTCTTCTTGACCTAGGCTGCAAAAGTAGGGTCTTGGTTTAAGAAAGTGTGATGGGAAGATCCTAGAGAGGTGTCTTCTGTAGATTTTCCTGTTTTCAGAGTGTGGTGGGGGAAGTAGTGGGGGAGAACAATCTAGAACAAGCCCAAAGCAGCATTGATATTGGATGCACTTGTTGCATTCCTTTTCCTAACATTTTTTTTTTTTACCCTTCTAGACAGCAGCAGAATCATGCTGGTTAACTTTTAGAGTCAGGTCACTTTCTGTGTAGAGCTCAGGAATGTCAATAGAGTGGATGATAGAAACTGGAGTTTTATAGCATTATTTTCTTATTATCCCTAGAACTTGATTTCTCTTGGACTTGAAAGTTCTCTACTTCTATTGCCTCTTGATACTTAGCAAATTTCTAGGCCTTTGATGGGAGTTGGTTGGATTGAACCTTCCAGATCTTTGTTTGGTTGTGACATGGAAAATGATCTTGTGTATTGTGTTATGTTGTACTTCTAGAACTCTATGGCTTTGACGTGCTCATAGATTCTACTCTGAAGCCATGGTTGTTGGAAGTGAATCTCTCTCCCTCTTTGGCCTGGTAAGTAGTCTATTCCATCAACCAGAAAAGGACAAACCTTCAATAAGCAGCTCTAAAACACTTTTTTTTTTTTTTTTTGGTCATTTCTCTTGGCGCTAGGAGATTTTTTTCCCCGTGGATATTAGATTGAGATGACTAGAATTTCTAAATTTGGGGGATGTGTGGTATATTGTCAGAGTCCATATTGCAACCATGGACCCCTATCTTACTAGTCAATTTGCAATCTCTGTTTACTGTCTTATTGGGCTTCTAAGGGATGCTTCTTTCATTTTTATCCCCAGTGTGCTTCCTCTCGCGCTCTCTTTTTTTAAGCTTTGTAGGTGTTCTGCTAAGGGTAAAGAAATACATGAGATATTGAATTTCCTTCACCACCAAAAGTTTATACATACTCTAATCCACATATACCATAAAGGTATAGAGCTGGGCCTAGGGTAGTGTAGATAATATCTGGTCCTTTTATCCTGTCCACGTCCTGGTGTTATCCATCCAAGATTAAAGCCTAAAGACTTCAAACAATCTTTAAAAAAATTTTTTTAACCTATCTATTGTTTAGAAGAAGGAAAGAAAGTTATTTTTCAATACCAGAGAAGATTCTGCTTCTATCTGTGGCTACAGCCAGAGTTTCTGTTAGCTCTGTGCTTCTCTAAACAGCTAGAAAACCCAAGAGATTTATGACAGAGACCACCCAGCTGCTGCATTTTTAACAATGAGAAATTTTGGGAAAATGCCAAGTAATCAAATAAAGACAGACTGACTACTTTGTAGGGTGGGAGTTTGGCTTAACCCCAGTAGTAAGGTGTAGAGCTGGATAATACAGATGCTTCAGATGTTGTGCTACACTTTGGTTAAGTCAACGTTTCGCAGGTTTCCCAGCAATGTACATTATACAATGTTAGAGAGCCCCAGGATAAGGCATTGGGTCAGCAGCCAGAGGAATCTGGTTTCTGGAGGAGCACCTCAACTCCAAAGCCAGCATGGCATCACTGCCACAGGGATGCCCCCTGCTTTCGGACCATGTTGCTTCTGTTTCCATGTGGGCTCCTGCTGCATCATTTGGTGATATTTTGGTATAACTTGTATTTTTTTTTTTTTGGCCTTCATTTGCAAGCCTGCAAGCTTAAGAAGATGGATTTAGAATGGAAAATGAAGCCTTAAAAAAAGTACAGAGATAGCCCAAGTTTCTTCTCTTGCATGTGAATGTGATTTGACTATCACAGCAGTAAAAAAAAAAAAAAATTGAACGATGGGCACACTCATAAAAGAGCATATTAAAAATCTGAACCTCTCAAATCCACAGTGATAGTGAAGCCGTGTTATGACCTGTGCAAAGTTTGAATTGCACAATACCTTCTGGAATAAAAAGATTGCATGTCAGGGGATAAGCGCCTTAGATCTGGGCCTGCCTTGCAGAGGATGAGTTTGATGCCAGGCTTTTATTTCTAGAATTTTTGCCCAGATGTTTTCTTTCCCCCATGGATTTGATGTGCTTTATGTGTATCTCCTCAATGACATTTGGTAGCTTTGCTGTATTAAGGCCTGTTAGGGGCAGCTATTCTGTTAACCTATAAAATTATTGATTGCTCTTTTCTTTCTTTGTTCTGTTAGTGATGCACCTCTGGACCTAAAGATTAAAGCCAGTATGATTTCAGATATGTTCACTGTTGTAGGTGAGTAGTAGTGTTTTCTGAAAACTCATATAAAAGTTAAGCAGTGCGTCCATTTTGTCAGGTTCTGTAGGTGTTGCCAACTGGCAGTTTCTCAGCCATGCTAAATGTTTTGTACTAAAAAATTATATTTTCAGGGAAGTGTTTATACGTTTCTATTCCCCCTGGCTCCATCCTGCCCTGAGGCTGAACCACAACTAGGGCTGAGACCTAATTCCTGGGGCACAGGAATTAGGAGCTGAGGAAGAGAATTAAGCAAAGATCTGGAGAAAATATATTTTTCTCTGAGCTGAGATAGTGAAACCCACTGAAGAGGCTTTGTTACGAAGGAGACTGGCTGTGTTTCTGCTAGGCAGTCTCTACTGGTGTCAGCGCTCTTCTGTAGTGGTTATGACTGAAGCAGCCAAGGAAGAAATCCCTTTCTGGGTAGATAAGCCAGAACTTTGAGATGGAGATGGGCAGCCAGGTGGGTATGTTTTGGGTTTGGAGTTGTTGTTTTAAGTACTCTAAAAAGACATGATAAAATACACTTGAAATGAACTAACACTTGGCGTACCAGCAAATGCTGTAAAACTTTGCTACCATGTTCTCCTTAGATGAGAATTTGCTTCCTTTTAGGAAATAAGTGAAATTGGCCGAAGCTTAATTTCTTAAGCAATGGGTAATCTACAAAGCCCATTTTGGAAGTTGCCAATCTACCACCTTTAGCAGTTCCAGAAGTGGATCCTATAACAGGACAATACCCCTCACTTGCTTCTGGATTCTCCTGGTAAAAACAACATTATCTTCCAGTCACCATCCAGGAAGCCACTTTGAAATAACTTGTCTTTATTAACCACTGTGTGTTTTTAAATGGTGGTTTGCACTTTTACTCTGAAGTTCATCAGAAGTCTACACCTCTTCTTCCATCAGTATCACATTTCAGCTCCCCAGCTCCCCAAGGAAGGCTGGTTTATCTGCATATATTCCTTACTTGTTTGCTGCAGTTGTGGTGGTTCGAAGTTCAAGTGGAGTATGTGTATGGGAGAGTCATGCCTAAACCTCCCAAGGATGGATCTCTGTAACATTTATGACAGTGAAACCGAGTTTGTCCATCTAAAGGAAAGATGCAGCTAAATCTGCTAATGTCTTAGAAAATGGCAGGCTTTAATATTTCCCATTCCCCATTCAGGGTTTGTATGTCAAGATCCTGCCCAGCGGGCATCAACCCGGCCAATTTATCCCACCTTTGAGTCTTCCAGGCGAAACCCTTTCCAGAAACCTCAGGTAAGCAAATTCAGCAACAGGAAGCCCCAAGGAAGCTTATTGCAAAGTGGCAGCTGTTGTCAAGGAGTGAGCAGAAGCGCTATGATTATAAAGTCACTTACAGCCGGAGAATTGGGGGACCATTCTAGACAGGAGGCAGTTATATTCAGCCACAGCTAATAGCTTATGCTTTTAATGCTTTCAAACCAACTTACTCTCTGCTTTTTTCTTTCTTTTCTTTTGGCTTCTTTTTTCATTGTCTTTTCCTTTGTTCTTTTTCTCTCTTTTTAAAAATCACTTTCTGTTTTCTCAAATTGATATGCTCATAAACGAGGCACAGAGAGGGAATCTACAAATTCCTCATCATTACTCTGCTGTATTTTTTTTTAATTAATTTATTTATTTTTCGCTGCTTGGGTCTTTGTTGCTGCGTGTGGGTTTTCTCTAGTTGCAGTGAGTGGGGGCTACTCTTCGTGGTGGTGTGCAGGCTTCTCATTGTGGTGGCTTCTCTTGTTGCATAGCATGGGCTCTAGGCACGTAGGCTTCAGTAGTTGTGGCTCGCGGACTTCAGTAGTTATGGCTCGTGGGCTCTAGAGTGCAGGCTCAGTAGCTGTGGCTCACGGGCTTAGTTGCTCTGCGGCATGTGGGATCTTCCCGGGCCAGGGCTCGAACCTGTGTCCCCTGCCTTGGCAGGCGGATTCTTAACCACTGCGCCACCAGGGAAGCCCTGCTGCATTCTTTTTGATCTTCAGACTAGCTTCGCAGAGAAGATGCTCAATTGAAATAATATCTTCTCTATATGTGAGTCTCTTCACAGGGACCCTCAATGATCATGAGGTGTAGATTGAAGTTAAATGAGATAAATGCCTGCAGAAAGCTGTGCATGGGTGTCTGAAACATCATCTGACCCAGTGTGGCTCCAGTCTGTGTACTCTGCATTTTCCAGTTAAACCAATCAGCTCATCATTCTGCCTACCTATTCCATCATCGGATCAGTCCCCGCCCATCTAGACCTGGCTAGTTTCCACTTGTGTTTCTTTGCCTCTTACGTTTCTTCCTATCCAAAAGGTCCACTTTCCTCCTGTCTTCCCATCTGGATTGATTACCTCACCTGCTCAGAAGTTTGGAGATCATTTCTTATTAAATCCATTCCACTCTGTCATGACCTTTTCTTTTCATTGCAGCATTATTTACTGGTTCTTTATTGCATTGTTTTGCATTCATTGACTTGTTGCCTTTAAATTGTCCAGTACTCCTCTGCTAGATTGTAAGCCCTTTGAGGGCAGAAACAGCTGCTGCTTCTCCCTGTCCCTCCCCTTTCCCTTACTTCGCCCCTCCTATGTTCCCCCTACCTCCACTTTAGCCCTCCACCTCTCCCTTTTTTCCTCCCACTTCTCTTCCTTTTGCTTGCTGGTCCCGTGTAGATTACTGCTACTTCTGTTTGCTAAGCTTATGTACCATTATTTATTCACATAACTTTTCATTAGAACAGGGTTTACAAACTCAAATGCCTCTAGGGGCTTCAGAGAGACAATGTAAAAGGGTAACTAGGGCCAGGTATGATACAGCTAAGAGTGCTGTGACTGCAGTAAACTGGGCAGTGCATGCTTCCTAGCAAAAGGGCAGCTCTTTTACTTACGTGCTCTGGCTGATCATTGCCATGCGTGAGTGTGGGCCAAGTGTTGTTAGATCTTCCTACTGTCAAGAGAAATCAGAAATCTTATTTTAAAATACTGGCAACAAGAGTTCAATTTAAAAACTAATACTTTGCAGATGAAACATAGCATGTCCTTGAGCTGGATTCAGTCTATTGGTTGCCTGTGACCTCTTGCCTTAGAATTATTCCCTATTAGCATTAGTGCTGTGGTGTGGAACAGGGTGAACTATATTTTAAGGGATATTATCTTAGATTAGAAGTGAAACCAGGCGACAGGGTTGTACTTGATCAGTACATCACAGATCAAAGGGTTTTCTTTAATTTTTTTTTAAATTGCTTTACAAAGGTGCATTAGTTTCTGCTTTATAACAGTGAATCAGCTATACATATACATGTATCCCCATATCTCCTCCCTCTTGCGTCTCTCTCCCACCCTCCCTATCCCACCCCTCTAAGTAGTCACAAAGCACCAAGCTGGTAGAGGGTTAACCTAGGCGTACTAGGAAAACTGAATTTAGGCAATCGCGTTCCTTTGCAAATTGTTTTCTGCAGTATCTGTGGCAAGAGCCACAGGACTGTGTATAAAGGATTACGAATGTTTCTGTGCATCATTACCAGTTTCTGCAAGTTCCACTCTAGGAGTAGATGTATGTCAATCTTGGATGAATTGATCCCTTTTCTTAGCTTGCCTGTCAGCTTTTACTGGTGACTCTTTGCACGTAGTGGAGACTCTATTCACTGTTTGTTCTGCATACTGGTGGGTAATGGCATGACTTCATCCATGAGCAGTCCACAGGACACTTACTTAAAGGCTAAAGAAGCTATAGATTACATGTACTGTGTGAGACCATTTTATCAGGTAGAATAGTTAACTTCAGGATCTTCAGTACGTGACAGTAGGATTGAGTTCTCAGTGGTGAGAAGGTGAAACTGGAATGGTTATACTGCAGGAGAATGCAGTGTGAACGATAATAAATGCTCTCATCTTTTGAGAGCAAAATATAGGGCTTTGGCTTTTGCTGTCTGCTTGAAGATTATTTTTGTCACCATAGATGTAGGAGTTGGAAAATACAGGCATGTTAGGAAAAGATAAGGCTTTATTCCATTTTTCTGTCTTTTATAGCGTCCAGTATCTGCACAGTTTCAGTCATCAAGCACCAAACAGGTAAGTTCTGGATCGTTTGGAGATTTCATTCAAATTTTTATCTCCATTCCCCAAATGAAAAGCCATTTAGCTTCACTGTTTCACAGTACATATTTCATGCACCTGCTTTTTGAACAGTTTAATAATGTAAAATAGAATAAGTGAAAGTGAATGCACAGAGATCTTTTTGGATGTAGTATGTAAGAGTAGAGGTTGCAGGAATTTATGAATCCTCTTTTTCTGATGGTGATTATGCTGTGATAGAGGCAGTTGAATTTAAATGATGAACAGAGTTTAGGGGCATATCTATTGTTCTGACCAAAATATTCCAGGAAAGAAATATCATAGTGCACAAGTAACCTTTCATTTGTTCAGACATCTTATGAAACATACCCTTGTCAGTAGCTTTATATTGGAAATGTTTTCACATTGGGTATTGGGCTGTATTTGAGTTTTTTAACAGATGACTTTTCTTATATGTAGTAATTTGCAGTTTTATGAATCTTAGAAACTCTGCCATATTTGGTGTCTCAGATGCTACGTTTAAAATAAAGACAAAATATGTTATCTCAGTCTCTTAATGATCATCATTTGTCCTCTTTCTGTTCTTGTTAGCAGTATGTGAAATAAACTGTCGCTTTCTTCTGTGCAGATTTTTTTTAACATCTTCTGAAGTGATAGGATTTGATGCTTTGATATGAGTGATGTAGATGTTCTCATTTATAAGTGTATCACTTGCAATTATTAGTTCTTTAGTAAAAAGCTCCAGTATATTTATTTTGGCATTTGTAGATACAGTTTCTGGTAAGCTTGGAAGCTTGAATTATAACTTTCTTAGCTACTGTTTTTGATAAAGTGATGTACATGGTTTATATGAATCAAAGAAATGAAAAAAAGACTCACTGGCTGTGTTGTCTAGTATTTGGTAACTGATTAGTATGGTTTTGTAACACAAGTTTTGTTGTTTGGTTGGTAGAATTCAAAACTCTGTAATAGTGTTTTGTATTTAGCAGGTACCTAAGTGTGCAAGCTGCTCTCTGTGGCAAACAAAAACCAAGGCTGTTGACTTCAAAGAGCTTACACTCTAAATATCTCTTGACCTAACCTATTTAAGGAGAAGATTAAAGTACTGTTTCATAGCCTTCTGAATTTGACTCCAAAGAAGTGTCTTTGACATGGAAATCTAATCTTAATGTCCCATTACTCATTTTAATTCTATTCCACCTAGCTCCATTGCTTGAATTGCCATAAGTTGCAAATAACCTGTGGACGAGCAAGGCCTCTCTTTAGTGGTTATTTATTTCGACGCTGCTCACGTGACGCAAAGGCTTTCTGGCTTTATTCAGCAAACCTTAAACATATTGAATTCTTCGACTCTTACTGTCCTTTGCAATGTTCTACCTTGTCCCTATCTTTCTGTTAATGAAGCACTCTCAAATCCACAGTAGTCTCATCACAGCTAAGTGAGAAAAGAGAAGAAACTTTCTGCTCGGGCCATTTAGACCGTGTAAACTGTTCTTTTTCTGGTGGTGTCAGATTGTGAAGTCACAGTTTTTTGCTTGTTGTCTGATGATTCCTTTTTAATCCATTATCTCTTTCTACATTTCTCCCTTCCCTTGAATACCTATGGTTCAACATTTTTCACGCACCAGAAATTACATTTCAGTGTTCAAGCAGGTGATATGGTTTTGTGGAAAGAATGAGGACTTTGAAGTCAGATAGACCTGGGTTCAAATTTGAACTCTGCCAGTAACTGTTAGACCTTGGGCATGTTCCCTTACGTCTCAGGCTCACTTCCCACATCTGTCAAATGAGGATAGTAATACGTACATGGAGTTATGCTGAGAAAGGAATGATCAAAAGTAGGTAAAATATTTGGGATACTTTTGGACACATAGTTTACCCTCAGAAGATTTAGTCTCCTTCATACTTTTGAGTACTGTTTTTTGTTTTTTGTTTTGTTTTGTTTTTTTGGGGGGTATGCGGGCACCTCACTGTTGTGGCCTCTCCTGTTGCGGAGCACAGGCTCCGGACGCACAGGCTCAGCGGCCATGGCTCACGGGCCCAGCCGCTCCGCGGCATGTGGGATCTTCCCTGACCGGGGCACGAACCCGTGTCCTCTGCAGCGGCAGGCGGACTCTCAACCATGGCGCCACCAGGGAAGCCCTTGAGTACTGTTTTGATTTCCCTTTTTGCATTGTCAGTATCTGGTGTTATTTTGATATTCATTTATCTATAGTCATGTCTTTTCACATTTACTGTCATCAACAAATGCAAATCAACCCAATTAAATAAATAATTAATTAATTATTCATCCTCCCAGACATCAATACAGATTCTAAAGAATGCTTAATCAGTACCCGATCACTTCCCAACTTGATTCACTGCTTCTTATCTTATCCTACAGTTGCATCTTTTAACTGTGTTCAGCTTTTGTTGGTATATTTTATTTATTATATCATGATGCTAAGTCCTGTTTGGAAATATAATTTAAAATAAAAACTATATGAAGTTTTCACAAATGCTTCTCTAAAATCCAAAGACATTAAATATATTTGCTCTATTCCCCCTTTTTGTTATTTTGTCCTAAATATCAAAATTATAAAGCACATTTTAAAATAAATAAGCAGTCTCTGTACTACTATTCTTTATGAGCCCATTAAACTCTAAATGTTTATGGATTTTTTTCTTTTAATATTTGTTCCATTATTTTACTAGGGATTCAAGTTAGACTCACCAGGCGGTAATCGCCAGGAGCATACTTCTTAAATTTTTGAAGATTGGTGCTTCATTTTTTTTTTTTTTTTCTAATCCTCTCGTACCTCCTCAGTTGTTCATGATTTTTCAAACATAATTGTAAGTGGTTTTGGTAATTTTTTTTGTTTTTAAAGCCAGTTCTGTTAATAGCAAGATGCATGTCTCCCAGACCTGCTGACTTACATTTATTACAGATTTTCAGATGCTGCATATCTCTTTTTACTGTAACACAAACCTACTTACTTGCTTTCTTTTTTTTTTCCCCTAATTTCAAAGTAGTATACTTCCGGTTATCATTATATGTAAGCCTTCTCTATTAGCCATTTTTGGTCTGTTTCCACCCAGATTTATTCATATGTGGGTTTTTTTGTTCATTTTCTTTTGTTTGATAGAACTGATTCATTTTGCTTTTTAAACTTGACTTTTTATTTTCTGAGTGGCAAGATGCATCACATATAAATTGAGCTATTTCTAGTCCATGTATTTTTAACACGGAATTCTAAACTTTGTAAAGTTGCATTGGGAGGCTTTTTATTCTTTGTATGTGTTCTCTGTCAGGCAGATTTTTTTTTGCCCCTCAATTTTGATATCTTTGAGGATCCCTCACCTTTTTTTTTCATATTCTACCTCTTGTCCAGTTCTCCTTACTGGTACTTGCCAGCTTTCTTTAAGGTGAGAACCATTTTTCTGATTTAACACCTGTTTCTTACTGCTGTGAGTGGGGGCAGGTGATTCCCTGTCTCAATAATTTCACATTCTCAGCCAGTTCTTCCCTAGCAATGAAGGTTAGATGCGTATTGGTTTCTTCTGTGGGTATATTTCTGAGTCCTACGTTGTACTAATTACAATTTAACAACTTTGATGCATGTTGCATGGTAGAATTCTTACTGAGACAGTTTAAAGTCTATCTGAGAACCCAGCAGTTTAAATCTTGTGTCATCTAGCCAGGGGCAATGGTTCCCTTTAAGTTTAGAGGAGCTTTATTTCCTTAGTGTATTTAGTCAATCCATTGGAATATGTGGATGTATTCTATCCACTACCCAGAGAACATAGCTGAGCTGACGTGCCCAAAGTCAAAACCACAGAATGGCTTGTATTTGAACTGCTTTGCTCTTGTTTTTGACAGTCCTGATGGCCTTTCAAATCATTCTGATTCCTTTTTTTCTTTTGCTTTGCTTTTAATTTCCAAGTATCTCCTTGGCACTCATAAGCATTTCTGGTTTTTTTCTTTTTTTTTCATTATTATCCTTTCTTCTCCCCTTTTCCCTCTGCTTTTTCTCTCACCTGTGTCTATAATTCATTTGTTAAGAGTTCATTTCATTAATAAATATTGGTAGGTTTCAACCAGTGGTCTAGGATAGTAATGCTTTGTTGTTCCTGTATAAATACATTCCTGTATAAACCAGTACAGCAGATATTATGTAGATTTAAAAAATTCTCTCGTCTCAAATTTATTGAAAAGCTGAGATTGGCAAAATATTTTTTACTTTCTAGTCTGATTATTTTCCACTGGCTTCCCCAAAGACACAGGAAACCTGGGTGGATTTTAGAGAGGCATTTGAGATACCTAGACTTCGAGAGCTACAACTTTTCCTATTTTTCTCCCTCTCAGCCTTCTTAATAGTTGACATTGAAGTAAATAGGTGAAGAGATTAAAGGAGTTTCTAGCCACATTTTTTTTTCTCTTTTGGAGTAGCATTGACCTTTTCTTTGCGCTCTGGTGGTATTTGTGGCAATAAAAGAATAAAACAGTCAGTTTATGGGAGTTAACAGCTGAAGCATTCATCTAACAAGCACCATTACCCCTTCCTTTTCTAACCTCCCAAAAGCCCCACCCAGGAGCACCTGCTTAAACTCCTACCCACCCCACCCAAATAGCCCTCATGTAGGCACACAGTGGCTAGAGTTAGGACCGTGGACTGTGAGTAACAAAAGAGTGGTTGTGAATGTATGTAGGAGACAACTCTTTAAAAATGACTGGGAGAGTTTTGGAGAGCTAATTCATTGTGGGAGCAGGTTTAGATGAATAGAGGAAGATTGCAACATCATTATAATAGTCTCAATCTCTGGAAACCAGGAATACCATGAAGCAGTTCCACAAAGATGAAAATTAGGTCCTAGAAAAGCAAAAAAAAAAAAAAAAAAAAAAAAAAAAGTTAAAAAGATAAGAACGAAAAGTAAACAATAAATAAGTAAACAGAAAAAAAACCTCTAACGATGAAAAAACAGATAAGAGACTGAGCCAACAAAAACAAAAGGACAAAAAAAAGGAAAATAATTTTTTAAAAATTGGATGTGCTCATTAGATGTTATTCAGTAGTGACTTGATCCATGTTCTTATAAATATGACCATTCCTTAAAACTATTCCTATAGGTAATAACTATTTCTTAAAATATTTTTTCTTATTAACCTGGTAATACAGTTAATCAGCATCTTAAAATAACATTCTTTCTATTCTAAGATGATTAATCTTTATTTTTATTACATCATTAAAATGAATGCTTACTTCATATTGTCTTCTTTCACAATTTCAGAGGACTTCAAGATATTCTTAAATAGTGTGAAGTGATAAGGCAGCTTGACTTTGGAGGATTTACTGCCAGTGGCTTTCTGATCAAAGCCATGCTGTCACATGTGAGGTAGATAAGTCTTTTTAGCAAACAATAAGTAGTGTGTGAAGATGGCAGAAGTCCTCAAAACATCCATTTAATATTTTGGCTTTTCCAAGTTATATGCTAAATAAGAAGTCACACTTAAAAATTTTTTTTTAAATGATTCTATTACTTATATTGATTCCCTTCTTAAATCTTAAACATTCTTCTTGATTTCCAACATGTGCTGTATAATGTATTTCCAGAGATCAGAAGGGAGTTAAATTTTTTCCCAAAATCCTCTGCAAAGTTTAATTCTAACCATGGTTGATCTATGTGTCAGCACATTATTCATTTACTTATTTGTTCAAAAAACATTTATTGATCTCCTACTCCATCCCAAGTACTGTTCTAGATGCTGAAGATACCACAGGAAAAGCTAAAGAGATAAAAGTTCCTACCTTCACTTGGTGCTTGTATCTGCTCATTTCGTCGTTTTCCTTCCATGGAGTTGCCTATCAGAAAATCTGTGTTTTATAACTCCATGCTAGCTTTGAAGATTAGTATATATTGATCTCCCTTGTGTCCAAAGGTAAAGCCATTCATGGTTGTTTATGTACAGGTGTGCATTAGTCTGCGTGGGCAGCCATAACAAAATACCATAGACTGGGTGGCTTAAACCACAGAAACTTATTTCTCACAGCTCTGGAGGCTGGGAAATCCAAGATCAAGGTGCTGGCAAGGTAGGTTTTGTTCTGAGGCCTCTGCTTTTGGCTTGTAGATGGTCACCATCTTGCTGTGTGCTCACATGACCTCCTTGTGCTTGCTCAGGCAGAGAGAAAGAGAGAGAGGACAAGCTCTCTGGTGGCTCTTCTTTTTTTTTTTTTTTTTAAATTAATTAATTTATTTTTGGCTGCGTTTGGTCTTCGTTGCTGCACGCAGGCTTTCTCTAGTTGTGGCGAGCGGGGGCTACTCTGTTGCAGTGCACAGTCTTCTCAGTGCAGTGGCTTCTCTTGTTGTGGAGCATGGGCTCTAGGCCAGTGGGCTTCAGTAGTTGCAGCATGTGGGCTCAGTAGTTGTGGCTCGCGGGTTCTAGGGCACAGGCTCAGTAATTGTGGCGCATGGGCTTAGTTGCTCCGCAGCATGAGGGATCTTCCCAGACTAGGGCTCGAACCTGCGTCCTCTGCCTTGGCAGGCGGATTCTTAACCACTGCACCACCAGGGAAGCCTGGTGGCTCTTCTTTAAAGGCTATTAATCCCATCAGACCAGGGCCTCACCCTCATGTCCTCATCTGACTCTAATTACTTCCCAAAAGCCCCATCTCCACATACTGTCACACTGTGGGGGTTAGGGCTTCAACGTAGGAATTTTGGGGCAACACAAACATTTAGTCCATAACAATGAGTATTGCTGAAAATGTCAAAAGTTAGTTGTCAAAAAGCCTTTCCATAGACTGTGTATACAAAAAGAAAAATAAACAATGGTTCCTGACGGTAGGACTTCTTCTGTCTGGTCAGAGTTACTTCCAGGACTCTAGAGAGACAAATTATACCCCCATTTCTTGGATTATTCCTTATTCTTTGTAGTTGGCAGATTTATTTGTCTTATTTTATCAGTCATCTTTTTCAATAATAGTGTGTTTTCATGCTTCATACTATCTGATTTCCTTTGTTACCTTTGTATTTCTCTGCTCTCATAACATCAAAATCTCTTAAAAGTTTTGTTCTCCAACAGCCTTCCTGATCATCATTCAGAAGCTGAAGTAGCCAGATCATCTTTGGGGATCCATAAGGAACATGACCCACTTGGCTGCCTCCTTGGAGTACCCAAGGCAGTCATCCTAGACCCAGTCTCTTGTAGTCTAGCAACTATAGTGTTTCTCAAGTTGTAGCCTTTTGCTCACAGCTCTCTTCTGTGTCACTGATAACTTTCATCCAAATATTTCCCTCCTCAAGTTCTAAAACATCCCACTGTCCAACTTTTTCATCTGTGACATAATAGATTGCTCCTGTTTCTCGGTCTTTTTTTTTTTTTTAATTTTATTTATTTATTTATTTTTATTTTTTGGCTGCGTCGGGTCTTCATTGTATGTTTCTCTGTTTTATGTCTTACTTTTCCTAACTTTACTTCCCCAGTGCTGAAAAGAATATAGTTACTTACTGAAATAAATACATATTTAATCTTATGTTGAGGTTATTTTCAGATTTTTTTCCCATATATTTCAAACTATTAAATGTACTCTAAAACCAAGATTAGGAATAAGTACTAGCTTACAAGGCCACGTGGACATCTTTCTTTCTTTTTTTAATTTGTATCTCTCTCAACCCATAGTGTTTTCCTACTATTCTATTTTCTCTTCTTTTCTTTGAGTTTACTGGCTTTCATCTATTTCCCAGGGTTTCAGGCTAAGAGATCAATTACAGAAAATGGGCTTTGGATTTGAGCTTATACATATGATGAAACATGATAGTGTTGAGGGACTGACTAGAGGGAAATGAAGAAAGGTGATGAAAAGATATTTTTGTTTTTCTTTTTTCTTCTCCTTAGCGTTGCCGTCCACTCTCTGCCAGTGACGCAGAAATGAAAAACCTTGTGGGCTCAGCACGGGAGAAGGTGCCGGGGAAGTTAGGTGGTTCTGTGCTTGGTCTGTCAATGGAGGAGGTAAAGATAACTCTATTTCAGGCCTTTACGGGTTAACATAGGCTTCAGTGAAAATTAGTGAGTGATTCGTAATATTCATGACCAACTCATATCTTATACTGAACGTGGGAGAAATAGCTTCTCAAAAAAATAGCATCTTAAATGGAATTAATTTCTTCCTTCATGCTTCTTTTGTATTCTCGGTTCATAACTCTCTTCCTCTGTCCTATTACCACATGGGTTACAGTTTTTAAAATAGGTACTCATTTTATTTTATTTTCTCTTCCGCCATGTAGATCAAAGTTTTACGGAGGGTGAAGGAAGAGAATGATCGGAGAGGTGGATTTATTCGCATATTCCCTACATCAGAGACATGGGAAATATATGGGTGAGGTGACTACCTTTTTTTTAAATCTGTACTTCAGGTCAAGAGAATTGGATTAATTGTGACACAGTATCATCACTGCTCTCCACATGGTGCCTTTCTTACATTTTTTTGTTTATTTATTTATGACAGTATGAATATTACCCAACCCTGCATTTTTCCTCCCTTTTTTCTAGTTCCCTTCCTCCTTCCTAACTGCCCCCTAACCCAGGGTTAGACACTGTCCTAAATTTTGTGGTTATCATTACCTTGATTTGAAAAAAAAAAGAATTGGTGTATCATCTATATGTGTGCTTAAACAATAAATTACTTATTTTTAATCATCTTTGAGATCAGGTTTACATGCAGCAGCATCCATTTTAAGTTTGATGATGAATTTTGACAAACACAGATGTCAGTTTAATCACCACAATTAAGATATAGAACATTCCATTACCTCCAGATGTCCTCTCATGCCCCTTCCCTGTGAGTCCCCCCATTACTGTGAACCTCAAACATCTACTGACCTGCTTTATATCACTATAGTTTTTCTAGAATTTTATATAAATAGAATCATACATTATATATTTCTTGATGTCTGGATTCTTTTGTTTGGCATAATGTTTTTGAGAATTATCCATGTTGTTGTGTGAAACAGTAGTAGTTCATTCCTGACTATTGTTACGTGCTATTTCATTGTATAAATATAGCACAATTTGTTTATCCATTCACCTGTGTGGAATATTTGGATTGTGTCCAGTTTTGGGCTGTTCTGAAGAAAGCTGCTATTATGAACATTTATGTACAAGTCTCTGTGTGGATATATGATTTTATTTTTCTTGGATAAATACCTAGGGGTGGAATAGGTGGGTCGTATGAAAAGGGATAAGAGATAGAACCATTTTACATTTTGCCAATGATGAATGAGAGTTCCATTTGCTTTCCATCCTTGCCAACACTTGGTATTGTCAGGCTTTTTAATTTTAGGCATTCTAGTGTGTGTGTAGTGTTTCTCTGTAGTTTTAATTTACTGTTCTCTGATTAATAATGATATTGAGCATTCATGTGCTATGGGCCATTTGTGTATCTTCTTTTTTCCATTTTAAATTTTAAGATTTTTATCTTTTTATTATTGTGTTATAAAAGGCTCTTGATACAAGTCCTTTCCCAGATATTTACATTATAAATACTTTCTCAAAGCCTGTGGCTAGCTTTTTCTTTTTTATAACAGTGGTTTTCAAAGAACAGAAGTTTTAAATTTCAATGAAGTCCAATTGGCCAATTTTTTTTTAAGGTTTATGCATTTCGTGTTTTCTAAGAAAACTTAGAAAAGAAGTCTTTACCAATGCCAACTTCACAAAGCTTTTTCTCTTTTGTTTTCTTCTAGAAGTTTTGTAATTTTGGCTTTTATATTTAGGTCTATGATATGTATTGATTTAATTTTTATGTGTGGTGTGAGGTAAAGGTTGACTTCCATTTCCTTCCATATGGATGTCCATTTGCTCCAGCACCACTTTTTGAAATTATGTTATTGAATTTAACTTGGCATCTTTGTTGAAAGTTAACTGAAATATATATGTATGTACATTTCTAGACTTTATTCAGTTTCACTGATCTACATGTTTGTCTTAATATCTGTAGCGTTATACTAAGTCTTGAAATTAGGTAGTGTTGTAAGTCTTCCAACTTTGTTCTTTTTCAGAAGTATTTTGACTATTTTGTGTCCTTTGTATTTCCAAAGAAATTTTAAAATTTCTTTGTCAATTTCTACACAAAAGTCTGCTGACTTTGGATGGGCATTGCATTGAACATATAGATTAATTTTGGGTGAGTGGATATTTCAGTAACGTTGAATTTTCCAATCCATGAGCATGATATATCTCTCCATTTATTTAGGTCTTCTTTGATTTCTCTTAGCAATATTTTATAGTAGTTTCCAGTGTAAAGATCTTGAACACGTTAAACTTATCACTTAGTATTTCATGCTTTTGGATGATATTGTAAATGTTATTTTTAACAGCTTTATTGAGTGATAATTGACATACAGTAAGTTGCATGCATTCAAATTGTACAATTTGATAAATTTTCACATATGTATATATCTATGAAACTACCACCACAATCAACACAATGAACATATGCATCACTACCAAAAGTTTCTTTGTTCTCCTCTGTAATTCCTCTCTCCTGCCCCTCCTTTTCCCTTCCCTGCCTATTCCTGTCCCCAGGCAGCTACTGATCTGCTTTCTGTCAATAAAGAGGAATTTGCATTTCCTAGAATTTCATAAATAGAATTCTGTTGGTTGTTCTCTTATTTGCTTTTCTTTTTTACCTGGCAAGATTATTTTTTGATTCATACATGTTACAGTATGTATCAATGGTTTAATTTCTTTTTATTGTCAAGTAGTAGTCTGTTATAGGCATATATCAGAATTTGTCTATCCTTTCATCTGTCGATTAATATTTAGGTTGTTCCCAGTTTTTTGTTATTGTAAAGAAAGACTCTATGAACATCTATATAGAAATTTTTGTTGGAACATGTGCTTTCATTTCTCTTGGGAAAATACTTACTTGTGGAATGACTGGATCATATCATTGTATATGTGTAACTTTTTAAGAAACTGCCATATGGTTTACCATTTTACATTCCTATCATAAATGTATGAGAGTTCCAGTTCCTCCATATCCTCACGAACAGTTGGTATGGTCAGTTTAATTTTAGCTCCTCTAGGAGATGTGTAGTGATATCTCATTATGGTTTAATTTGCATTTTCCTAATGATTAATGATGTTGAGCATGTCTTCATGTGCTTGTTTGCTGTTCGGTGATCAAATATTTTGCCCATTTTTTAAATGAGATTATTTGTTTTCTTATAATTAGGTTGTGAGAGTTCTTTATATTTTCTGGATATAATTCTTTTATCAGATGTGGGCTTTGCAAAGATTTTGTCCCCCAGTATGTTACTTGTCTTTTCATCCTTTAAACAGTGTCTTTTGAAGAGGAGACATTTTTAATTTTGATTAAGTCCAATTTGTCCTTTTTTTCTTTTAATTACTGTGCTTTAGTATCTAAGAAATCTTTGCCTATTCCAAGTTTTCTCCTATTTTTTTAATAGAAATATTGTAGTTTTAAGTTTTACATTTAAGTCTGATCCATTTTGAATTAATTTTTGTGTATGGTATAAGATATGGATCACAGTTCTTTTTTTTTTCCAGATGGATATCCAGTAGTTTTAGCGTCATTTTTTGAAAAGACTACCCTCTCTCCATTGAGTTGTCTTTCACTTTTGTGGAAAACTGTGTGGGTCTATTTCTTTATTTTTTATTCTTTCCCATTGATCTTTTTGTTTTTGTGCCAATACAGTGCCACACTGTCTTGATTACTGTAGCTTTATAAAAAATCTTGTTCTAACTTTGTTCTTTTTCCAGGTTGTTTTGGCTATTCTAGGTCATTTGCCTTTCCATTTGGATTTTAGAATTAGTTTGTCAGTTTCTACAAAAAAGCCTGCTTGGGATTTTCATTGGGATTGTATTGACTCTCTAGATCAGTTTGAAGAGAATTGACATCTTAACAATATTGAGTCTTCCAACTCATGAACAAGGTATATCTGTCCATTTATTCAGGTCATCTTTAATTTCTCTCAGCAGTGTTTTGTAGTGTTCAATGTACAGGTCTTTTACATTTTTTTGTCAGATTTCTTCCTAAGTATTTAATATGTTTTGATGCTATTGTAAATGATTTTTTAAAAATATTTATTTATTTATTTGGTTGCACCAGGTCTTAGTTGTGGCACGCATGTGGGATCTAGTTCTGCAGCCAGGGATTGAACCCAGGCCCCCTGCATTGGGAGCATGGAGTCTTAACCACTGTGCCACCAGGGAAGTCCCTGTAAATGATTTTGTTTTGTTAATTTCAGTTTCTGATTGTTTGCTGCTAGTACATAGAAGTATACAAATGATTTTTCCATATTGATCATGTTCCTATAATCTTGCTAAACTCACTTATCAGTTATTGAAAGTTTTTGGAGATTCCATTGGATCTTCTACCTAGTTGAAAATGTCTGTGAATAAAGACAGTTTTCCTTCTTCATCTCCAATCTGGATGTGTTTTATTTCTTTACTCTTGTGTGATTACACTGGCAAGAACCTCCAGCACAGTGTTGAATAGGACCAGTGAGAGCAGACATCCCAGTCTGGCTCCTGCCTAGGGTAAGCAATTAGTCTTTTGTCATTAAGTATGAAGTTAGTTTTAGGTTTTTCATAGATGCCCTTTATCAGATTGAGGGAGTTCCCTTTTATTTCTCTTTTGCTAAGAGTTTTGATCAGAAATGGATGTTGGATTTTGTCAATTGCTTTTCTGCATCACTCGACATAACCATATAGTTTTTCTTTTTTGGTTTGTTAATATAGTGAATTACATTGATTTTTGAACGTTAAACCCAACATTTCATTCCTGAAATAAACTCTACTTGGTCATGATATGGTATCTTTTTTATATATTGTTGAATTTGATTTGCTGAAATTGTATTTGGATTTTTATATCTATGTTCATAAGAGATACTGATCTGTAGTTTTCTTATAACGTCTGTGGTTTTAGTATGAGGATAAGATATATAAGATATTTCAGTCTTTGGTTTCTGGCCTCACAGAATGAGTTGGAAAGTGCTCTCACATCTTCAGTTTTCTGGAAGAATTTATGGAGAATTGGTATTATTTATTTCTTGAATGTTTGATAAAATTCACTAGTGGAGCCATCTGGACCAGGAGTTCATTTCAATTTTTTTAACAGACATAGGACTGTTCAGGTTATCTATTTCTACTTGAAATGAGCTTTGGTAGTTGGTGTCTTTTAAGGCATCTGTCCATTTCATATATGTTGTATTTATAAGCATAAAATTGTTCATAATATTCACTTATCCTTTTAATATCTATAGAATCAGTGATGTTACTTTTCTCATTTCTGATATTGGTAATTTGATTCTTCTCTCTTTTTATCCTATTCAGTCTGGCTAGAGGTTTATCAAT